GAGAGAGGTAAAGAAGAACCCAAAGGTCACTGTGGCTGAGCTCCAGAGATGCAGTCGGGAGATGGGAGAAAGTTGTAGTAAGTCAACCATCACTGCAGCAATCCACCAGTCGGGCCTTTATGGCAGAGCGGCCCGACGGAAGCCTCTCCTCAGTGCAAGACACATGAAAGCCCGCATGGAGTTTGCTAAAAAACACCTGAAGGACTCCAAGATGGTGATAAATAAGATCCTCTGGTCTGATGAGACCAAGATAGAACTTTTTGGCCTTAATTCTAAGCGGTATGTGTGGAGAACACCAGGCACTGCTCATCACCTGTCCAATACAGTCTCAACAGTGAAGCATGGTGGTGGCAGCATCATGCTGTGGGGGTGTTTTTCAGCTGCAGGGACAGGACGACTGGTTGCAATCGAGGGAAAGATGAATGCGGCCAAGTACAGGGATATATATATATATATATCCTGGACGAAAACCTTTTCCAGAGTGCTCTGGACCTCAGACTGGGCCGAAGGTTTACCTTCCAACAAGACAATGACCCTAAGCACACCGCTAAAATAACGAAGGAGTGGCTTCACAACAACTCCGTGGCTGTTCTTGAATGGCCCAGCCAGAGCCCTGACTTAAACCCAATTGAGCATCTCTGGAGAGACCTGAAAATGGCTGTCCACCAACGTTTACCATCCAACCTGACAGAACTGGAGAGGATCTGCAAGGAGGAATGGCAGAGGATACCCAAATCCAGATGTGAAAAACTTGTTGCATCTTTCCCAAAACGACTCATGGCTGTATTAGATCAAAAGGGTGCTTCTACTAAATACTGAGCAAAGGGTCTGAATACTTATGACCATGTGATATTTCAGTTTTTCTTTTTTAATAAATTTGCAAAAATTTACATTTCTGTTTTTTTCTGTCAAGATGGGGTGCTGAGTGTACATTACTGAGAAATAAAATGAACTTTTTTGATTTTTGGAAAATGGCTGCAATGAAACAAAGAGTGAAAAATTTAAAGGGGTCTGAATACTTTCCGTACCCACTGTAAATGCACACAAACAGCAAGTGATTTAACCCAATTCAGGCTACAAATCACAAAATGTTTGTCCAATCAAAACTTCTGGGATATGTCTATATAATGACCCCACACATACACTGAAGGTTTCATTCAAATCGGCCAATAGGGGGCGCTACAAATGCAAGAAATGATTGATTGATAAATCAACAAGATTTTATCATTATAAAAACGTTAAACTTTGTGTGTGAAACCTTTTTGAAATCAGGAAGGCTCAAAAAGGTTTTAACCCTTTCATCTCCACTTGCGAATATATTTGTTACTATTTGCCTTTCTTACTTCCTTTGGGCACTTTTCAGTTTTAAACTAACCAAGTAATTTTGTTGCCTAAACCCAACCAAGTTGCAATTATTTAGTGTTAACCACATGCCGTTTCACAACCTTTAACACTAGTTTTAGAAAATGTAACCGGATGTTGCATATTTCTTATCGCTAACTTGATTGCGGAGCCCTACACATGCAAAACCAACGCAAAAGAGGGTACCCAGGGTGTTAACAAGCGACGCCAAGGGGTCTTGACCAAGCATCTATATGTGATGAATTGGGAGTAAGAATGTGTTGGAATGTGCGTGAGTATTTTATGGATTTCGCGCATGGGCATGGCAAAATGGCTCTCTAACGCCCCCTACAGAGCAGCCCCCGGACAAAGTTTCACCTACGTGTACGACATTTCTGTGGTACGTGTATCATGTCCAGATGCACAAAAAAGCCTCTTGGAACCACTGCCTAAACCAAACAGGAAGCCGGCCATTTTGGATTTAATGGTCATTTTTGGCAATTTACACACTTTTTACTTTAACAAAGTCCTGCTAGGGATTTAGTCTGACTTCAGATTTGTGCTGTGCAGTCTAAACCCATTGACGATTAAAAGTTGTGCAAACATTGAGTTTTCGTGGAATGGTGTGCCTGTGGCGTGGCGTCCAAAATTGATGATTCGCCATAAAACAGAAAGGTATTGTAACTTCAGTGTACATGCTCACATCTGCACCAAATTTGGAATACATTAGTACATACAAGAGTCCCACTCTGAACACATCCATATGCCAATATTCACTCAAAGTCATAGCTCCACCTACTGGCAACAGGAAAAGACTCTTTTTACGCTGTAATGTACTACTCCGAGCAGGTCAGACATATCAACTTCAAAACTGTCCTAGAAAACCCTTAACACATTGATGAAGCCACATTGCAAAACTTGTGAGTTTGCAGTTAACGGCGTGGCGGTGGCGTGGCAGCGCAGTTAAACTCTTCGCAATGACACAGGAAGTTGTAACTTCAGTGTACATGCTCACATCTGCACAAAACTTGCACGTGCTTGATAACTGTCCCACCCCGAACACATCTACACGCCAATATTCATTTATATTCGTATCGCCAAGTGCTCTAGAGCGCCACAAAGGGGACACAGGAAGTGACGTATAACACCTTCATGCAGCATCCGAAGTGTGTAGCAAATTCACAGCCGCACCGGCAGAGCTCCAGAATCTGCAGTGTGGCTACCTCACACCCCGACGCCCTTCAAGTATGAGGGCCCGCCCAACGCTGCTTGCAGCTTTAATTTTTGTTACACTTTTTGTGTAAAACTTGAGAAACATTTTTCATATAACACACATGAAATCCTGTTTTAAATAAAATAACAATTTGACCTAACAACCTAAGGTTGCAGTCATTTATAACAGCCTGTCATAAATGATGTGCAAGCCACAAACAGGTTCACTAGGTTAAACCCCACTGAGACTGGTAGAGGTTGGGAATTAAATTTTCACTGTGCACTCGTAATTTAAGTCATCTTTCCAGAAGGCATTTTAACAATTGTGCATTGTGGTCTGTCATAGACACGGACATTTAGCAGAACAAAGCCAAAAGAGAAAGCCAAAACCTCACCATGGGGTTGTCGAATGTTGAAGGGGAGGCAAAGATACTGTATGAGGTGGATGCAAGTCAAAATAGCACTGCTTCCTGTATACACTCACCTAAAGGATTATTAGGAACCCCATACTAATACTGTGTTTGACCCCCTTTCGCCTTCAGAACTGCCTTAATTCTACGTGGCATTGATTCAACAAGGTGCTGAAAGCATTCTTTAGAAATGTTGGCCCATATTGATAGGATAGCATCTTGCAGTTGATGGAGATTTGTGGGATGCACATCCAGGGCACGAAGCTCCCGTTCCACCACATCCCAAAGATGCTCTATTGGGTTGACATCTGGTGACTGTGGGGGCCATTTTAGTACAGTGAACTCATTGTCATGTTCAAGAAACCAATTTGAAATGATTGGAGCTTTGTGACATGGTGCATTATCCTGCTGGAAGTAGCCATCAGAGGATGGGTACATGGTGGCCATAAAGGGATGGACATGGTCAGAAACAATGCTCAGGTAGGCCGTGGCATTTAAACAATGCCCAATTGGCACTAAGAGGCCTAAAGTGTGCCAAGAAAACATCCCCCACACCATTACACCACCACCAGCAGCCTGCACAGTGGTAACAAGGCATGATGGATCCATGTTCTCATTCTGTTTACGCCAAATTCTGACTCTACCATCTGAATGTCTCACCAGAAATCGAGAGTCATCAGACCAGGCAACATTTTTCCAGTCTTCAACTGTCCATTTTGGTGAGCTCTTGCAAATTGTAGCCTCTTTTTCCTATTTGTAGTGGAGATGAGTGGTACCCGGTGGGGTCTTCTGCTGTTGTAGCCCATCCGCCTCAAGGTTGTGCGTGTTGTGGCTTCACAAATGCTTTGCTGCATACCTCGGTTGTAACGAGTGCTTATTTCAGTCAAAGTTGCTCTTCTATCAGCTTGAATCAGTCGGCCCATTCTCCTCTGACCTCTAGCATCAACGAGGCATTTTCGCCCACAGGACTGCCGCATACTGGATGTTTTTCCCTTTTCACACCATTCTTTGTAAACCCTAGAAATGGTTGTGCGTGAAAATCCCAGTAACTGAGCAGATTGTGAAATACTCAGACCAGCCCGTCTGGCACCAACAACCATGCCACGCTCAAAATTGCTTAAATCACCTTTCTTTCCCATTCTGACATTCAGTTTGGAGTTCAGGAGATTGTCTTGACCAGGACCACACCCCTAAATGCATTGAAGCAACTGCCATGTGATTGGTTGATTAGATAATTGCATTAATGAGAAATTGAACAGGTGTTCCTAATAATCCTTTAGGTGAGTGTATATTGTGTGTATATGTATATATTGATAGCAGTTACTTACAGTGAAACAGTTACATTTTGTTCAATCAAGATCATATTCAGAGTCAGTCCCAAAATAAGCTTGGAACAACATATTCAGAGTGAGAAAATTATTTAACATTTAAGTGATATGGAGTGCTGTTCATTACAGACCATAAGACCAAATTTCTGAAAATGTACTGTGTGTATTGTAAAAAGATATTCCTCACCTTTAAATATCAAGGCTTTAAATATCAACACTGTTAGTGTGCTCAGAAACAATACATCTTGTAGGAAAACAAATGCAATACATTGACAGTAAAAACTTTGCATGGGCCGTGATTACTTTGCTAAATCAGTTAAACATGAATGTAATTTATGAATGTAATAAGAGACAGGGTTACTGTCAATAGTTCCGTAATTTACTCTTGGTAGCTGTGCATGTGTTTACACAGTTCCTTATAACAAATGAGAAATAGCTGATAAGTGTGTTAAGTTTCTTGCTCAGGGACACATTGATGGATGTGTCACAGTGGGATTCAAACCTTGATCTCCCAAAACAAAGGCATGTGTCTTATCCTCTGCCCATTTGCCACCTCCAATATTCTTTGGAGTTATTCTCTTGAAATGATGTGAGACATGTCAGAGTTCATATAAGCTGGTAAGAACATGCTTGAGAGTGAGTGAGAGTACAATAATACCTTACCTGATTGAAGTAATTCACCTTTGTGTTGGTGTTTGTCCTTCTGTAGGCGTCCAGGATGACCCGCTCAGATGAAGAAAGTGACATGGGTTGGGACGCCTGGGGCCCCTGGAGCGACTGCTCTCGAACTTGCGGGGGAGGAGCCTCTTACTCCCTACGACGCTGTCTCAATGGAGGGTAAGCTTTATTTAACATCCAACACATTTTTAATAATATATAATATATGGAAATGCCCTGTGGTAGAAATCTGATATTTAAAAAAGCAAAGAAATATCCAGTATGTGATACCTCTATAGAACTGCTACTTGTTGTTGGGGTTATGAGTTGAATGACTGCAACAGTCAACTGGTCAGAACTTAAGTTCGCTGTTCACTCACTTCACCAGTAGATTCTGCCTTTAAGAGACATTGTGTTTAGAGTAGGGGTGGGAGAAAAAATCGTTTCTGAGATGCATCGCGATGCAGACGTGGAAGATTTTGAATCGATTAACAGATGTCAAAAATTGATTATCTTAAAGTTAATTGATAATGTAATGTTGACAGAACACAAAAGGCGGAAGGCAAAAAGTGAAGCACCCAGACACTCTGTGGTGTGCACATAACAGTAAGGTGACCAGATTTCTGAAATGAAAACCGGGGACATTTTTGTTTTGGTGGTCAATATTGCATTAAAAAAATATATTGTTATTCTACATGAAATAAAAGAGGGACAATTTCGGTTTTATAATCTGTCAAATATATCTCTTCTGAATGAAATCAAGTTATTTTGAGGCAGAGACTCCCTTTCAGTCAGTAAGCAGAGGCTGCAGTCACTTTCTGGCAAGTGGAATACAGCATGTTATGTCTTGTTTTGGTCATTTAAAGGTATTTTAAGAGGTAAAAAGTGCAAATTGAGTTGGATTCTGTCAAATATAACTTCTGAATGAAATGAGGTCATTTTGAGGCAGAATCTTTAATTCAGTCAATAAGTAGAAGCTGCAATCACTTTCTGGCAAGAAGAATACTGCACTATTATTTGCACTAGTATTTCAACAGGTAAAAGGACTGGATTGGTCAGTATACAGCAAGTTGAATAATGTAGAATCACAAGGATAATTGCAAAAGAGATCATGTCTTTATTTTATATATAACTCAGCAGTAAGTCATGTTATTTTAGGATACAGTCCATTTTCCAAATATAAACAAGAATACTAGACATAGGCCTGCCAAACACATAATCCATCAGCAACAACAGGCTTCAATTATTGCCTATAAACACGTAAATGTCATGTCCGGTTACACAATAAACTGCAAACACAATTTTTATTATTCCGATTAAATGTTAAAGCATCGCAAAGACATACCTTTGTGGTTGTAGGTCTGTAGCTTCCCCAATTGCTGTAAAAGTGAAGGCTGTTAGTGCTAGCTGACATCTCCCCTGTACAGCACGTTTTTTGGCTGTTATGTTACAAAGTAATGTTAATTAGCTGCATGTCATTACTGCCTACTTTTTAAGGGTTGAGATCATCAGGTACAAGCTCAGTAATCAATGAGGTGCCTAGAGATTCCCACTAGAGTCTGTGGAAGATGCAGACAGACAGGTTGCAAACAAACCTCTAGGCTAGGCAGACTTATTTGGAAGAGAAAATAAATAAAGGAAAGAATACCCAGAAACGGACAAAGAGAGAAAGGAAATTCTATTTTGTGTTTTACAGAAAACACAAATAAATAAAAAGAATATGTACAAAGAAATATTATACTGATATTTGTAATAGCTGAAATAGTGGGGAAACTCCCCCAGGGGCCCCCAGATCCACTAGGACCAACAAACACCTCATTGCTATGGTGTCATTGCACTTTTTTTGGAGAATGTGGTCCTCTAATGTACAATATCAACAAATGACAAAATTAAAATTACCAACAGATAATTAACCTGGGACCATGCATTGTTAGTGCATCCTCTACAATAGTCCATAGCAATCCATCCAAAACTTGCAGAGATACTTCAGTCTGGATCAAAGTGATAGGAACACACATCACTATAAAGACATTACAACTTAGTTTGGAATAGTTTCCTAGTTTTGGCCATTATTATCGGTTAGGATTACATTGTACTCTAGAAAGTCTGAATCTGATAACACTGTCTTCATGACACTGATAAATGCATCAAGTGTGTGGGTTTCCGATCTGTGCTGTATTTAAAAGCCACAATCAGGCTCTCTGCTCTCACTGTCAGCCTGTCTCTGCTCTGCTAGTTGTTGTGCAGCGTTGCATGTTAAGGAAGACTCTGCCCTGTGGCATCATTCTGTGGTCTCCTGGCAACACATTTGTCTCCATTATTTGACTACAACTTATCCATGCTACTGCTACAATTTCACTTTGGGCGCTAAAAGTAAAAACTTTTCTACTGTGCACATACAATTCATTCAGAAAGTATTCTGACCCCTTGTTTTTTCTTCACATTTTATGTTGCAGCTTTATGTTAAAATTTTAAATATATTTTTCCTCATTGGTCTACACTCAATGCCCCGTAATGAAAAAGCCTACACAGGGTTTTAACAATTTATTTAAAACTTTATTTAAAAAACTGACATGTCACGCTGACACCTGCAGCAGTTGCAGTACAAAGTAGGAGCACTGCAGAGTGGAAAACAATATAAAAAGCTTAATGATAAGACTTTAAATAATATAATCACAATGTGCAATATTGGGATATTATTGCACATTATAATTATATTATTTAAATTAATCTTCAGCACTGCTCCATGCAATATAGTTTATTTCTGTTTTACCATTTTATAATTGTTGTATATGAACACAAATGAGTAGAAATGATTGTGGTAATTAAAATGATTGTATGAAAGTATAGAAAGTGATGTGTTAAATTATCTAATGAATGATTATTATTAGCCATGAAATGAATTGAAGTAAACAATGATTTTAACAGTATAGATAAAGACTGTATGAAGAATAAGAATAGGAGAGAATCATGTTGAGACATGTTGAAATCGGTGTGCAATGCTGAGCTGAGTATAACAGCCTAATGACAATGAGTCACTGGAGAGAAGGGTCAGGAAGGGGAACTGAATGGCCAAATAAGGACATCATTGGCCTAACTAAGTTTGCAACTGAACAATCTATGTGGCAGTAGCCAAGTAGACAGAAAAGGGTGGTGGCTGATTTGGCAAGAAGACGCCAGCTACAGAGAACGATATCGTGTTAGATCCTGAGTTACCCCTGTTCAGGAGGTACTAGACCAGCTCTCCATCTTAAAGGGTCCAATCCAAGTTAAATCGTTTCACTCTGTTGATATTTTATACACATGCACAAACAGGACCTATACATATGCATTGATGTATGGAGAGTTGTCAGAGCGAGGGGGCTGTCAGGCACCCCCTTGAGTGCCCAAGAGGTGAAAAGGCACCTCCTCAGCTACCAGTCCACACTCTGTGCTGGCTGGTCCGTGTTGGACTTGAACTCGCCATCCTCTAGTTCCTAACCCATGGCCTCATGGACTGAGCTGCTGCCCCCTACTACAGCTGTCTAATTATAAAAATAATCTGTCAGGCATACAAAAGTTTGGCAACTGTAGACGAGAAAAGTGTATTTAATCAGTGGCATTTACTGTTTTTAAAGTTTTTGGTTAATTACTTTTTGCAGGGGTTTCACACAGTTTCACAGAGTCACCTGTTGGTTTGCAATAGTGCTGAGCTTTGTTTGTACTTTGTTTTGCAGAAGCTGTGATGGCAAAAACATCCGCTACAGAACCTGCAGCAACATGGTAAGTCTGATTTTTACAACTCATTGTTGTTGCCTAAACCTAATGTAAGCCAGGCTGGAGTGGCCTAAACAGATATAAATCTACCAACCAGGGGCCAGATAGCAGTATTCCCATTGATTCATCAGGAAGGTAATTCAGAAAAGAGGTGTTAAGATTCCAAACTCACTCCTCTTAACAGACACAGAAGCTGATGAAGAACTTTACTACTTCCTAACACAGTATGGCTCTATTCAACAAAGAATACCAGTAGACATGCCCCAGTCTGAATTAGGCTGGGGCATGTTCAAGGTTCAAGGCCTTAGCAAACATATACACGTCCGTAGCCAATCAGCCACACAAATTTATCTCACAGAGTTGAAGGAGATTGCAAAGCAGAGTGACAAGGACTTTACAGATTTCCTGAGAGCTCTCTCCCATCAGTGATACAGTTGATCAACAGCATTCAGAGAAACAAGAGAAAGACAATAAACATTCTTGGGTTATGTCCATGAACACGCTTCGGAGGCCATACAACAGGTGAGTCATCAGCTCAGTGAAAACCAAAACTGCATAATTCATTGAAACTCTGACCCTTCTCAGGACACAGTCCCCATCCAAACAGTGGACTATTACACATGGTGTTCCAATGCAGATTTCTTAAGGAGAGATGCACATCAGATTTACACAAATAGCAATAAATACTTGAGAGCCTTTTGTCACCTGCCTTTAACATAGTCAAGCACCTGACACCTTATTCATCTGCAATGGGTACTTGGACATTCTAGATTCAGACGCAGTTGAAGACAAAGACAACCGCTAAGCCAGATTTCTTAACACATTGCAAAACTATGGAGAGAAATCCTCAGCCTATCTTCAACAACTGCAAGTGGTGCTGAACACCACCCTCAAAAGAGGCGGTGTAAATGCAACTGATCTGGGCAGCCAGCTTCTGAAACTATTTTGCAGAGGCTGCAGGGACAACACCCTGATAACTGAGCAGAAGCTAGAGCAACAAAACACAGCCCACCTACCTTTGCAGAACTCCTTTTGCCGATTTGCTCTGAAAAGGGATACACTCCAAAGCAGAAGACGTCCTCACTCTTCTAAGGTGCCTATGTTTAATGCGTAGAAAAATGCGACACATCACCACAAGGACACAATGATTCTAAAAAGACAAGTTGATTTGCAGTCCCAGCTTTTGCCACTACCAAATCCTCAGCTGAGAGTGCTAAACCACAAAAAGCCCACCAACCATAATGTAAACTGTAAAATAACACACATTAACAAACCAAAACCCTGGTACTGTGTTGAGGATGGGCCCATAAAGCCTCAATGTGAAGCTGAACCCAACCCCTCTCTTGTAGCCTCGAAAAGGAAACTAAGAGAGAAACAATTGGAATGGGAAGGGAAAAATAGCCCCATAACATCTGATAAGGAACTTTTTTTTCATTGGAGTTAAAACCGCACAAGTGGCTATAGCAGAGAAAGACTGTAATTGTTTGTTAGATACAGGTTCACAAGTGACAGCAATTACATACTAATTCTATGAGCAGAACCACTTACACACTTAGGCGGCAACACTCTAGACATCCTTTATGAGTAGTAAGCGCCCACTACTCAGAACTTCCAGTCATTACCCTATGAGTACAGAGTTGTCCTTAAAAGAGACAGAACGTTGACTCCAGCCTCGGGGTTGTAAGACCATTGGCCCCGGTCGGACCAAAGCTGTGGAAGGATCAGTCAATTGCAGAACACTAAATGCCGGAAAGTGGGTAGTGGTTGAATCACCAAAATTCTCCTCCCTACCAGGTTGCATAATGGTTACAAATGGCCTAGCGATCCATGAATCAGACCATGAAATCACCTTCAGGTATCAACCAAAAGTGTGATAGCTGAAGTGTATGGTACTCAAAATGTTCACCACTAGTAACTCAGACACTCCCAACTAAACCTTATCATAAATCTATGAATGACTTTGACTTTGAAAACTCTCCAATACCCAATGAATGGAAAGAGCGGATAACTGAAAAACTGAAGTGTACCTGATGTGTTCGCTCTGAATGACCTTGACTGTGGGCACACTGACAAGATAAAACATCACATAAAGTTCTGTATGTGTGAACATTGTAGTTGACCGTGGCCATGATTTAAAACAAAATACTTTACTAACAACACAATATTACAAATACACTATAGCAGAGAGTCTCAGAATTAACATAAAGACTTTGTAGCAAAGGTCTGGAAATATTTTTAAAATTAAACTCCGATCTTGGTATGCTTTATGTTTCCACACTGGTGGTAGCGTCATTTTAAAGGCTAGCAGTATCAACAGCTAACAATCCTATTGCATGTTGTCACAGTAAGCAGGCACAAATAGAAAACAATAATACAACCAGCATGATTGATTCATCTGCTTATTAGGATGTACACAAATGTTGCATATAAAATGAATAAAACAGAATAAAGTACCACAATACAATAAAATCAGATAAAAAATGTCTATGTTTTAAACATAGACATTAATAGGACTATTCAGCTGCATAACTTTTATTTACAAATTATTACTTGTCCAATAACATCATGTGTTCAACATTTGCTGCACTGAGCTGTGATTGACCTGTTGCTTCTGCTATGCCATTACTTTATGTTATCATCTTCTTCTTCTTCAAATCCAGCCTTCTTGTCTGGTGAACTTTGACCTACAGCGACCCACATGCTCACACCTCACCCCTCATTCCCTCACTCAAGCCACGCCCCCTGAACTCCAGTTTGCAGCTGGACCAAGGGGGTAAGCCAGAGATCGGACAGTGAAGCCGACCAAAGCCTGCATGGAGGGATCCATGTTGGCCCAAAAATGACGCCAAAACCCTGTGACACCCTGTCGCACATGAGAGATGTAACCGTATTGCTTGGATTATAAACTCTCTGCAATCAAAAAAAACTATGAGAGCAAAGAGACGCTGTGTTGGTGTTTGGCAGGTGAGCCTCGTAGGTGGGCTGATTAAACAGTGACGATCTGAGTCAGACAAACACACTGAGCCATGAGACTTTTTGTTGGTGCAGCTATGCAGCTACCAGAATTACACTGGTGCCAACAGGAAGTGGCCCTGTTGTAGTATTTTATTGGTCCAAAACTGGCTTCACTGCTCTCCATTCAAATCAGCGGGGTGGTTTCGTCCAGTAATATACTGTCTATGAGCTGGACCCTTCTCGACAAAACACTATTCAAGCCCAAAGTGAGGCCTATTCATCCACAGGACATAGAAGAATCTCAGAGAACTCCTTGATGCTGAAAGTATCTGTGAGTACTTTCTCTTCACTGTTCTTAGTCATCAGAAAAAAGAGTGGTGACGTCAGACTATAGACTACAGAAAGCTCAACTTCCAGACAGTGAAGGATTCGTATGCATATTGCTAAAAGGATCAAAGTGTTTTTTTGTATTAGATGTTATGTCTGGCTTTTACCAGATTGAGATAGAGGAATAAGACAAACTAGCTACTCCATGCTTACCACTTCACCTCCACTCTCCTCCTGCTCCCTTTCTCACTCGGCCCTGTCACTTTGTCACTCGCTAACACACGCCTCTGTCTGGCAGTGGCCACAGATCTCCTTCACTCCTTTATGTGTCTGTGCCTGCTCTATGTCTGGTACCACAACTGTTGTTAAAACTACCGCAGCCCCGGTAGCAAACATATCGGTTGTTTTTGTGCATTTGGCGGCGGCTGTCTGAAGATTTTTTAGGGGGTGCGTAACGCAAGGAACAGAGAGCAGAGCGGATGGGGGCTAGTAAGAGATGTGACTGGGTCGGCCCAGTGTCAGTATAGAAAATCACCCAATGGGCCGCTGTCCATGCTTTATGGGCCGGTCGGTTACACCGGCCCCAAAGGTGCGTCGGCCCACCAGGCATTTGCCCGGTATGCCAGATTACCAGTCCAGAACTGGACCCTGAAAAGATCTCCATCCTATCTATCCAACTTGAAGGAGCTAAGAACCTTCTTGGGATTCTGCAGTTATTACTGTCATTTTATAAGGAACTACTCGAAGACTGTGAAACCCCTCAATGCAGTCACTGCTGGGTACCTGCCACTGTGGAAGCACAGTAAATCCGAAGTGAACATAGAGAAATACAACAATCTAACGGATGTGATGGCTGGACAACAAAATGTCAAGTAGCATTTAAACCTGTTAGTGACAAGTTGACAACCACTCCAGTTCTTGGTTTTGCTGACCCCAAGTCACCCTATATCTTACATACAGACGTGAGCACGGTGGGGTTAGGCACTGCCCTATACCAGGAACAGCAATGACAGAGACCTGTCATTATACCTTGCTTATGCAAGCCATGGCTTATCACAGATACCCAGCTCATTAGTCCTTTTCTTGCTGTTATTGACTGCATATCTTACCTCTGCGAAGCCTGATGCTACAAGCTAAAGGTGGCTAGCTGCTTTGTCAACATTCAACTATCAACTACAATATAAAGCAGGAATGCAAAACCAGCATGCAGATGGACTGTCCAGACGACAACAACCTCCACCATCTGTGTGGAAGGATTTCTCTGAACTCTGCCTAATGTTAAGGGATCGGAACCATTTGGAAATATTAGATTTCATACTGTACCGAAAATGACAAGAGGGTGCATGAATGTCTTACCAACTTGTGCTACCACAATAGCTGCAACCCTCAGTCTTAAACAGAATGCATGATGACATTTGCCACAGGGGTGTGGAGCATACTTTAGAACTTGTCAGAACACGATTCTATTGGTTCTAAATGTCGATGTTAAACACAAATCAAAAATTGTAGCTACTGCATACAGCAAAAATCCTTACCAAGAAACAGCAAGCTCGAACAGTAGCTAAGTGCTTATGGGTCCATTATGGCATCCCTGAGAGGCTGCATAACGATCAATGTCCTGACTTTGAGTTTGACTTTGAGTCTCGAACAATAGAAGAACTGTGTGAACTCTTGGCACTCAGAAAACCTACTCAGAATACCCCCTACCACCAAGACACCCAACATGTAAGGAACACTTAAGAAGAAGATATACTTTATTAATTTAATAACATGCACAAACAGGACCCACAGCAACACACAGAGAGATGTCAGAGAGAGGGGGCTGCTACTTAGTGCAGCGCCCCGAGCAGTTAGGGGTTCAAGGGCTTGCATCTTCTGAATGTCAATTTATTAAAGTGACAATGAACTGAATTATTATGAATTATTATGGTGTTGCAATCCCACCTCCGACCTTGTCCTTGTTGTTCCTCTCCTCAGGAATGCCCGGCAGAGTCAGGTGATTTCCGGGCCCAGCAGTGTTCAGCTCACAACGACATCAAGTACCAGGGTGTTACCTATGAGTGGGTCCCAGCACCTTATGACCCCTTAGCACCCTGCACACTGCGGTGCCAGGCTAAAGGGAGAAGTCTCACTGTTGAACTGGCCCCCAAGGTGCTGGATGGGACACGATGCAGGGCGGATGCCTTTGACATGTGTATCAGTGGACTTTGTCAGGTAAGGGATTGTGTTATAAATCAGTGTCATCCACCTCTGATATGATTAGACACCTCCACCATCTGCCTCATTATCCATTTAAGTGAAAATGGTACAATGGCAGGAAATTACATCAAACAAAAATTTAGACAGTTCTGTGACATTAACTGTTTCCTGGGCAGACGTTCAGGTATGGCCTGTAAAGCACAGCTCATATTTATCATAATTTTGATAAATTGGATATTGTGTGCTTGGGCACATGTAAAATGTGTTCTTTGCAGCTTAGTTTTACTAGATGTTTACTAGAGGCGGGGTACACCCCGAAAAGGTCACCAATCCATCGCAGGGCCACACATAGACAAACAACCAGTCACACTGACAATTTAGGGTCACCAATCAAACTAGTGTGTTTGGACGGTGGGAGGAAGCCGGAGCACCCGGAGAGAACCCACGCAGACACAGGGAGAACATGCAAACTCCACACAGAAAGGCCGGGACGACCAGGGTTTAAACCCATGACCTTCTTGCTGTGAGGCCATAGTGCTAACCACTGCACCACCCACAAAAAGATTTATACAAAACAAAAATGATATACAGTAAGTGGTGATGAATAAGTCATAAAAATACAAAACTATTTTTCATGATGGAATGCTAAGGATGAAATAAGGAGGCTCACACCCTGAAGGAAGAAGCTAGTGGCACAACAGCGAATACTTCTGTATTGTTTGCCAAACGGCAGCACGGTGAGCAGGCCGTGGCTGGGGTGGTTACTGACTTTTAGTATCCTTTGGGCTCTGCGCAGGCACATCACCAATGTGGTAGATGAGTACCAATGTTTTTTTTTATCACCTGCCGCACAGTCCGCTTGCCTTGGGTCTAGCACAACCCATGTCAGTTTGTAATGTTTCCAGGATGCTTTCTATTGCTCATCTTTAAAAGTTAACAAAAAATTGCCATGGGAATGTTGTTTTCTGAAATACCGGTTTCTGGGTTTCTTTACTGGCAGATTTCTGTGGTGCTGATTCCCAGGAACCTAAAACTATTCATCTGTTCTACCTCAGCTCCACTGATGTAGACAGGGGTGTGTCTTCACCTCCTTTCCTGACCACTTACAGTGTCATAATTTGGAGTGTGAAAATAAAACTTCTCATTACAAGGAGATGAGATGACAATTTCTTTTTAAAGAGCATTAAACACTTAATTTCTGCATCAATTTATGTTGTAAGTGACAATTTAGAATATAACAATATAATATAATATAGAAATATCTATTCACCAGTAGATCAACTTTTGTCATTTAATAAAATTCCTTCTGAATCACACAAGTAACACCTTTAAATGTGGCACCTTAGCCTAGTTTGAACGTAATTTCTAACTTAAGTCCGGGTTTACGTGCTACTAACGGTTTAAGGGTTGCACCAGCTGAAATACGTCCAACATAGACATAAGTTACAACTTAAATCTTACACCTAGTCCTTAATAGGTGCAAAGTCAAGTGGTTGTCATGGCGCATCGTTTTGAAAGGTGGGGTGACTGGGATCAGGAGGAGCAAATTTTTCCGGGCTCTTCTGCGTAACCGAGCGCACACAGCCTGGAAGTTATGAAGGTATGAATTGAAAATGTAGCGAAATTAAGAGTAGATTACTAGCCCAAAGAAAATATTGGATTAAAGAGTAAAAATATAAATAATAAAGGAACATGAAAAGGCAATGACTTATTTTTATTTATTTATTTTTTGCAAATTTGCGTTACTTGTAACAAGTTTCTCCCCACCCTGCTGCAGGCGCCCTCACTGCTGTCTTCAGGTAGGTTGTAATAACAGCAGCACAGAAGAAAAGTCTGTAATATTGAGGCACTTAGTTGAACCTGCCTCCAGCAAACTCTAGTTTTTCTCCCTTAACTTTTCAGCACCTCCTTTACGTTGTGTCAGATGTTTTCTATAGGCCTACACGATTTTTGTCCGTTTTTCAACCGTTTAATTATATCTGATGCAGAGTGTGTGATTGGTTTCATAGTTATCACCTAATCATAATTAGTTGTCGTTGTTTATTTATTTATTTATTTTTAGCCTTTAGCCTCTTCAGTATTGCAAACGTTGAAAGAGAGAGAGACAAACAGATGACAAAACCGTAATAAACTCTGTTAAGAATAGTGCTGTTCACTGATTGGCCATGGGATGCGTAAACGTCATTTTCTGCGGCACTGTTGTGATTACTATGAACTTAAAGCCATTGTAGCGAAGATGGACCTTACGTCTCGGTGGTGCAACCAAACAGCAACACAGCTTAAGTCTCAAACTAGCTAGTTTGAACGTATTGTTTAGTGTGGACTTTGCACCCTAACTTAAGGTAGAACTTACGTATCGCTGGTGCAACAGCCTCCTGTGTTCCAGCAGGTTTTCTGCACATGTTCAAAATTTTCTGCACATTCAAAATCTATCCCAAATACCTGTATTCTCTGACATGTCGAGAAAAAAGTCGTAATATTATGAGACGTCATAATTAAATGAGAATTCATATTTTATTCATATTTTCTACCTGCCCTATACTCTACTGTGCATTACGATATTGCTTTACTGATATGGTAGTATCCCCTTCAGACGTCTGGCACAAGATCTCCTCACACCCCTAGTCATTCCCATAAATAACCATTGGCTATATTTGTTTGTTTTTTTTATATTAAAATGGTTGTTAAATTAATATTAAAATGATGTTTGAAATGTTTATTTGGAATGACATTTGTTGTCTTTAGACTTAAAAAAGAAGGCTACAGAAAGGAAGCCTGTTCTGTCATATGACCCTAGCAATGCTCATCATAGAGAGCAGAAGTGAAACCACAACTTCCGGGTTGTGTTCTAGAAGTAAGCACACCTCATTTAAAATCCCAATGACATTTGTACAGTAGTACATAACCCTTAATCAACAGTGTGTCATGTGTTTCTCTCCAGATGTGGAAATAGTGTTGCAAGAACATTATTCCAGATTTGGTCAGTGATTCAGTTAGGTCTTACACCAGTTGAAGAAACAACTGACCAATCTGATTTGCTTAAGCAGTATTTAGAATTGGATTACCATCATCCTATATAGCAAGCAAGCTACGTAGCTAGTTACAGAAAAATGGCCACCAAAATGGCAACCAACAAAGGTATAATTATAGCATAGACATTAATGCATTTGACGACTACTGTGACCATTTGAACATTCACATTTAAAGTAATAGTCTTAAACACACCTACCAATTGTGTGACCATATACCATTATTTTACCAAAAGAACAATAACTGACCTTGAGGATCTTTTTAATTTGGTACATTGAATAGTCTACTGGTAATATTAGTTTTATTTGCTTTAATGTTATCATGCTGTTTAGCTAGCTATATAGTAATTGTATAAAGAACAGTGTACATGCAGCTCTGTCTGATGGTGAACTGAGGTCGTTATAACCATCTATGCTCTCTTCAAAGCCACTGTCCTCTGACAAAAACAGTAATTTTACCTCGCAAAGTTGCTGGTCTACCGATGCCTCGATCTTTCAGTTTGATTATGCTAAAGTGGCCATGTGTAGTTTTCAATGGCCTCTAGTGGTGCAACCATGTTCTCTTATTAATGAGCGAGCACTTGGAATCAACCAAAACAGAGACTGACATACAAGAGACTGCATCACACAAGATGCTGGAAACTCAGGTAAACTCCCACTGCAATGTTACAGTAATATTTTTATCAGCTTGATGTTGAACTAATCCATTGTCATCTAAGAAGAATTTCTTTTTAGAATTATCCTGGAAGACAGTCTTCTGTATTTATCATTTCATATATCATTTGAGTTTACCTTACTATATCATTACAGTTTACCAGTGTTTATTTTAGCATGGCTTTAAACTGTGACATCCTTTCTTGCATGGGTCATATGGATCGAGTAAGCTGGAGAAGTAATGTGGCAAGCCTTACAACTATAGTATTTTGCAACAGATAATGTTAGTGAGCAAGCAAGCCCAGTTTGGTCGGTGACGTGGAATTTACCATGTTTTACCCATGAGTTTAGATGAATTAGCTGATGTCAACAGTTTTTTCTTATGTCCAGTATCTAGCATCTGGTTGACGTTAGCAGGCAAACTAACGTTAACTAACTTGAGCCAACTAAAACACAAAATCACAATATATTTCACGTGATTTGAAGTAATGTTCGCTTACCGCTCCAACAGGATAAAATTCTGGGTCGGTTTTGACCCCTGTTTTCGCTTGACGTTGATCTGATTCTCACATGAACCCTTTTGTTTGAACACACATATGTTTTGGCAAATGCTGACGGACAGTTCATTACTTGCATTAGCTGCACTCAAAGGAACATTGATACTGGGTCACAATTCAACACAGCTTAAAAATACATCAGACAGAGTTTCAACTCCGGGCAGTACCATTGGCGGCCAGTAGATAAGAAGCCCGCTCATTGTCTACTGTCTATGTTTTAAGCAAGGAAAAGGCCACCTCCGTCCTCAGGGACCTAGACCAGGATACAGGCTCTGGGATACTATAACATTCTTGCTAAACTCACAAGACCACAGATACTTCTTTGCTGTATAATCAGAGCTCACAGTATGTCTGCCAACAGAATCTATCCTATCTTGCCATCTAACTGTCTTTTCTACAGTATTATCTAATCTTTCACAGGGACTGACATGTGTGCACCCCAATTGAATATGAACACTGTGTCCCCTTTCTTCTCTCCTACATTCATTCATTTTTGTGTCTCGTTATTGTTGTCGTTGTTTGTGTTGTTACTGTTGCGGATCTTGTAGTTCTTGTAGTTCTTTGCTGTTGTTGTACCATGTGCAGCGTCTTCATTTGTTTATGAAAATCTAAATCTAAATTATAAATGATAAAAAGAAACTGTACCCATTAAATACAATCCTCCTCCACTTTTACAATACTGTACATCTAGTAAAGGTCTCAGTGTGCTTAATACAAACTAGGCCAAACAATTTGTCATCCAACAATGTCTAAAGGCCATCAATTCTGAATGGTG